TTTGGATTTAGGATGAGAATAATGTTGATAACACACTGATGTTTTAGTTGTTGCTGAGCACTGTTTATTGTAGTCAAGGACTTTTCAGCTTCCCATGCTCTGCCAAGTACACAAGAAGCTGGGGAGGGGGCACAGCCAGGACAGCTGACCCAGACTGGCCAAAGGGCTATTCCATACCATATGACGTCATACCCAGTGTATAAACTGAGGGGAGTTGGCCAGGGGGCACCAATTGCTGTTTGTGGACTGGCTTGGCATCAGTTGGTGGGTGGTGAGCAGTTGCATCACTTGTTTTTCCTGGGTTTTGATCCTCTCTTTGTTGTTGTTGTTTTCCTTTTCACTACAATTTTTTTTTCCAATTATTAAACTGTTCTTATCACAACCCACGAGTTTTCTTACTTTTGCCCTTCCGATTCTCTCCTCCATCCTACCAGGAAGGGGTGCAAATAGCTGTGTGGTGCTCAGTTGCCGGCTGGGGTTAAACCACGACACAGTGTTAGGTTTACAGTTGGACGTGATGATCTTAAGGGTCTTTTCCAACCTAAATGATTCTATGATTCAAGACATGAGAGTTTGACATCACTATTACAAACTTCTGGTCTTACTTGTCTTCTGGTCGTACCCTATCAGGATTTATAATTTTATTCACATTCAGGTGGCTATTTCCATCCTATGCAAACTTCTGTGTTTGCTTTCTACTTAAGCTCTTTTTCTGGAATGTTTTTAGACAAATACTTTTACCATCAGAATTTTTTTTATGATCTTTATTACTATATGAGCCAGAATCACCATTACTGAGTAATTGAAACTTATAGCAAGCAGTGTACTCATCTGGAATAAAATGATTAAAAAGCAATTACTGAGATTCCACCAAATTTTTGGTCCAATCTGATTTCTGATTTAATTTATTTTGGTAGTACAGAAGGTCTGCTACCTACAAACCTGGAATAGCTGGATGAAATGTAGGTAGTGGAATGATCCTCGGTGAAGTAGTACTTCACTACTCCTTTGCTTTTTAAACCATCTCTTGAGGGAAAATGGAAGCAGTTCACTAATATAAAAATTTGCAGTGGTATTGTTTTTAAATAAAGACTAGAGCTGAGTCAATGTTGCAAAAAGGACAAGTCTGGAAATATTCACTTGCTTTTAAAAAAATATTTACTTCAGCTGCATTAGTGCTCTTCTGTGATTTGCTCTCTGTGATTTTGCTAAAATGAACATTCTAGCAAATAAATTTATCAGCAAAGTGAAAAAAATAAAAAAAAGAATAGCCACTGAAAATGAGTTATTAATTTGTAAAAGTAAGATATATTCCAAGGGTCATACAGCAACTTAGGAAAGAGGACTGTCTCTCTTTTGCATTCAAAGAAAGCTAATCTGCCGGATGACTTATATTCAGTGAAATGAATGCACCAAAAACATTCTGAAAGTGCTGGGAGGAAAGAAAGAGGAGAAGAAGCACTGATGAGCACAGAAAATTCACAAGGAAGAACACCAGCTTAATATATCTTGACAGCTGCTGGAACGATCTATGATGTGTCAATATTTCTCTGGCTGTAAGAATGCCAATAATAATACCTCTCTAATACCTCTTAGCAGAAGGCTTCTGGTTATCTGCTTGGCTGACCTGTGTTCTCACTCGCTTTTGCTTTCTGATAGCTAGGTCTTTATTTCTCTATCTAAACTGGTAATCAAGGAAAATCAGGCTAAACAGGTGAATGGCTAGAGTACTTCATGCAAATCTATATCTTTATAAGGTATTGAGTAGTAAAATGGGTCTGGTAGGAGCATTTTTTTTCTGTCAAGGCAACATTTCTCTTTCTTCATAATGAAAAGAGAAGGGACTTCCTAAAGGATACTTCCTTACAGCATAAACGTTTTGTGTTTCTGAATAAAGGGGGTAGGTTTTCCATTTCCCAAAGCCATGCACAGTCTTAGGGATGTGTAATGTGTTCCTGTCCTGAAATCTCCTCTGGGGACATGAGGAAAAGGTACCAGAGTGGAGAGGTGTGGCAGGAAAATGAAAGAAATGCAGATATGAAAATTGTTTTTTCAGAACCATGTGGCATGGTGTCTGGGTAAGATGTCTCTTTCAAAAGGCACAAGACAAGTTTCAGATGAATGTCCACGATTCAGAGGGCGAAGGGAGCAGGTTTCAGGCTCACATGCTGAAAGATGGCAACTCAGAGCTAGCTGGGGTTCACAGCTAGTGCTTAAACAACAGCCTGAGTCTGCAGACCAAACTAGGAAGGTGTACAAGATTTTCTTCCTTTGTGACAGGACAGGGGTGTGAGCACTGATGAGCAGAGTGTGAAAGATGACCCAGAGCCAGTTGCATGGGAGGGAGCTCCAGCAGAAGTCACCACAGAGCACCTTAGCACTCAGGGAGATGCAAAGCTCATGCAAAAGATCTTGGGATAGCAGGAAGGACTTGTGGGCCTTTTGTTAGGCTCTCTAGACAAAATAAAATTCAAGCCCTGAAGAGAAAGACCTTAGCTGCAAGTCTGCTGAACACACTTTGATGCACTGGCTGGTGAAATGGACTTCAGTACAGTTTGCTAGAAAAGCTGAATTAGTTCAACACTAGATTTTGTCTTCCTAAGCCACTGCATGAAGTATCACCCTTCTAGATTTGTCAGTCTGTTTTGTTTCTTCCCAAAGTGCTTCTCTCTCACATTTTCTTTGGTTTTGACTCCTGATCTAAACCCATGATTTTAGATGGGAAAAAGTGGAGTTCAAAACATCTGCTGCAAAGTGCATTTCGCTAGGCTGGAGAAAACTTCATTGCATTCTTTATTACAAGTCTAAAACATTATTGACTTCAGCACTAAAAGCAACTGTAAATTTCATAGGAGCTTCCTCTGCAAATCAGAATTAGCACATTGCACCAGTTGGTGCAACTCCTTCAGAACTCTTCAGTGTTTTTGTTTAAAACAGAAATAAACAAGGAAACATGGGCTCAGGCCTTGAAAAGCTACAGAGAAGTTCACTCTTCAGAGAAAAATCAAACACAGATCCAGGCTGCAGCTGGATGAGGAAACAACTGCTACTCCCTCACTTCAGATAGTCTGTACTTAGCTGTGATTAGGCACATAGGAAAGCCTCATGGGTTTTTTTGTTGTGTGAAAAAGGTAAAGAAAACCACTGCATGTGATGAAGTAGAAAGGCTACTGCTGTGCTCTTTCTGCATTCTTCGGTGGGGACAGAGAAGTAAAAAACTAAGAAAAACAGGTGTTCCTGTAGAGCTTTTGTTGCTGGCTGGAAAACATACTGGTAGTACTCCAGTTCCTGGTTCAAACTATTGCCATCTCTAAGTTTTACTAGTCTGTCATCATCAAACCCTAGCCTGAACACAAACTTTCAGCTTATTTGCACATACCTAAAAAAGAGTGTGGGTCCAGATACCACATCCAGAACAGCAGATCAAACAATTGAGTTTCTTTTCTGAAATTTGAGGGGTCAGAGAAGGACTTTGACCAAATGGGAACAAAAAGACAGGTTTGCAGGTGTTCTCAAAGAATGAAAGTCTCCAGCAGACTTGACATGGAAGTACTCAAGCATTTCAGTAACAGAAATTATTTTATCAATATAGAATAAGTCCTAGTATACAAAATAACATTTTAATATGACATAAATTAAAATGAAACAACATGATAAAGTTGAAAGACCTGCTGTTATTTTTTTCAAAGTGACATGCGTCAAAGCTATCAAAGCAAAATGAGGAAGTAAAAAAGATTCATTTTGACATTTTCCTATTAAAATTATCACTGAAAGCCATCTTTTCCTATGACATTTTGAAGTTCTACATTTTTCAAGAGAAAATAATTCCATTTAAAATTTTTCATCCAGCTTTGCTTCTCGATGAAAGACTCCTTTTAAGAAAATCTTTAATTCCATAAAGATGTTGGATGAAAGAGTTCTAGAAATTGCTTCCAGATCAATCTTCAGTTACTTAGGCATAAACTGAGTAATATGCTCCACTCTGTATTTATAGCCCTCTTAGAGCAGATCAAAGTGGGAATAAAACCTACAACCTTTGACTTCACAAGGTATGATTACAGTAATGAACCAGATAGGCAGCAAAAGGAACAGATGTAGTGTCCAATACTGAATAAGAATATAAACATTCATAAGGAAGAAATTAGAGATGAGCACAGTCAAGAAAGCCAAAGCCTCAAAAGTTTATGGGGAGGGGGGAGAAGAGGGGATGGAAAGGGAATGTCAGCCTCCAGTGTGCTGGAGGGAGGTAGCAAACTGGAATTCCCAGAGGATCCTAAAAAGGCCAGATGGTCTCAGAGGCCGTTTCGTTAGGATACTGATGTCCTGCCCTGAATTTCAGTCTGGTAATTACATTTGGTCTATTCAAATCCCTTCTGCAGTTCAGTTTTGCTGTGGCTTTCTTTGAGTCCTTCCCTGATCTGTTGCATAACATCACTGTGTGAAGTCGTGGCTGCTGCTTTTCCATGGTCCTCTGCAGGGTGCATGAGTTGATCTATGTGTTTAGTCAGTGTTTCAAACTATTAAGCACTTAGACTTCTGTTTGGATGGCTGTACTAAGCAAATATCAGGTATGTTTATTGTCCTCAAACCACAGTGGCATTTAAATGCTCACTAAGTGGAAAAAATATTTGAGGATGAAAGTTACTGATATTGAAGGGGAAGGGAGTAAACTCCAGATATTTACCTCCATTATTTTGTGCTACCTAAGCAGAACTCAGATCAAGAAAGGAAACTAGACTGTTTTATGCTAATTTAAATACAACTGTAGAATGTGTTAGCAACTCCTGTTTTTCTAATTCTACCATATCACCAGGTGATAACATCACAGTGGGTTTATGCCTCTGCCACCAAAGGAGATATACTTACCTTGCATTTAAAGGGTTTAACATCAGAGTGAACAATCATGTGGGCCTTGAGAGTCTGCTTTTGCACAAAGCTCTTGAAGCACAAATGGCATTGATAGGCTCTGATATTGGTGTGGATCAGGACATGTCGTTTCATGTTGGCCAGCAGAGTAAATTCCCGGCCACAAATTCCACATTTGTGCTCTTTCACACCCTGTAAGAAAAGAAAAAAATCAGAAAATTCTGTAGATGGAATATTTTCTAGATAATTTCATCTTCAGTACAGCAATACATGAATTATTCATTCTGCAATAGCAAAGCAGGTAATAAATTATTTTGCTTTTAACATCGTTTGCTAAAGTAATAGATACTTGTGTATTTTTTCTTGGCAAATTCTTACAAGAATCTGAGAAGCAGAGAGGGAAAACAAAATGTAAGCTTAATGTAATAATGAGTTTTGTTTCCATCAGTGAGTTTACAAATCAGTGAGACATAGTAGCAGAGCTTCTCTGTCCTACTCTGCTGCTTATGTAAAATATTGGTCAAATGTGTACACATTGACCAAGAATAAAAGCTAACCAGTTAAGAGACTAAAGTAGTGCCTGCCTACAGTAATTGAGCATCATTGGCTTCTAAAAAAGACCTGTCCCTGTTTTGAAGAAAGCTATAGAAAATAATCTGAAATAACCGAGAAGTATTCAAGCAATGCCACCAAATAAGGATGTACATGTTACATTCAAGGAAGAGAAATAACTATTTACTCCTAGTGGGACTTGCACTAACTCTAATGGAGTGACCCCATTTTATCTGGCGTGTACAGAGCATTTCTAGCACCCTGTAGGCCATCTGGTCAATTTACTAATGCATAATTCAATATTCTTGGTCACACCCATGTGGTCTAACTGCCAGCTCCTCAAAAAGACATTTAGATGCTATGAAAATCAATGAATTTACCACTAAACGCTATAAGAGTTTGAATATAACTTGCTGAAGGTAATGAGGATTTACTAGTGAAGTTCCAAGAGCAATTACTCCTCCTGCAGGCCCCCATTACAAAGATTACTTGAAAAAAATCTCTACTTTTGTACCAGTAAGTGGTTTTCATAGTTAATTGCAAAGCTAAAACTGTGAACACCAACAGCAACTCTAAGTGTCTGCTTATCTGATGTGAAGCTATATTTGGGCAGCTAAGTACTGTTAATTATGTTCACAGCTGCAGCTGTGGACAAAGAAGCAGAAGCTCTCTAAAGGCTCAAGGGCATTGCATTTCCTATGACAAAAAACTATCAAGTTTTGAATTAGTAGAATTTTACATGGTAAATCCAAAGACCAGGGAATCTCCAGAAAGAGCAAAAATTATAATAGTGTAGTAGGGAAGAACAAGCAAATGTGGAAGTAGAGGTTGTTGTTTTTTAAAAGAAAATGTGTCTATTAGACTAAAATGCTGTAGCTTTCTGGTTTTCATATAAAAGCCAAAATTCAAGTGTTAAAGGAAAAAATGTGCAAGACTGGAAGCAAATTTTTATAAAATGTGGGGGTTTTTTGACTTGTCTTAATAATATTGTTGTAAAGGTAGATAAACTAATTTCAGACATTGTTGAATGGAACACTTTTTAAAGTGATCCTTTTGGATGTGTTCCAATGCCTGCTCCTAGTCAAAACTGACACTGCTGTCATTACTGACAGTAGTGGCAAGACTGCCACTTGATACGAATTGGCTGGGATTATGGTCCTGCTTGTCCACTTTTATTAACTGTCATTCTGGATAACTTATGCACAAAGGGGAATTTTTCTTAGGTTGTTTTTTTCCCTAAATGTCTCATTATAATGATTCTTCAAATTCTGATGAGTAATAATATACTTTCTTTTGCTGCATACATACAGCCTACTGCATATCCACCTACTTCCCAGTTAAGTGAAGCAAAGCAATAGATCTGTTTTTCAGTAGAAAATTTCTGTTAAAATTTCAGGGGGGTTAGACAGCTCTAAAAAATTATATTATTTTACAGAAGGTCATTCTGAAGATAAAACCCAGAAACAGAGAGATGTGAATACAATTTTGGGAAATAATACAGGTGGTGTAATTTAACTCCTGTTTGTAACAAAACATTTTTGCATGTACTTTCTTAAGACTGACAGAGACATCTAGCTTCTAGTATTGCCAGTGCTGCTGGGGCTTTTGCTCTGCATAAAATTCTTCCACTGGCAAAGAGCCAGCATGAGGCTCTATAGACTGATTACCTTCTTTCCAAGGAGGTTCATGTATCTTTAGTAGTCTGTAATCCTTGTACTACCTTCCGATGCAAGGTGACAGTGCAACTTGTGATGGCTTACCTTGTGAGTTAGGGAGTGTTGTTTGAGATGGTGAGGCTGCACAAACTCCATGCCACATTCAGTGCAGATATACGGACGGATGTCTTTGTGCTTCATCATGTGGTTTTGCAGCTGACTCGGGTACTGGAAGGTCTTATCACATTCAGTGCAATTGTACTGTATAGGGCCACGGTGGGTTGTTAAGTGTC